AGCCCAGGGCCAGTCTTCCTCAGCAAAAAGAGGAGGATTGGCAGATGTTAGCTCAGGGCCAATCTTCCTCACACACACATACAAAAAAGTAGTAATCCACCATAGTTTTATTTTGTTCTCCAGTATTATCAAAGAAGCATTTAATACCTTTGTACTGAGGGAAAAGAAAGGAGGGGAGGGAAAGGAAAGATTAGTAGGAATGGGTTTCACACTGACCTGGGTTTCAATGAAAAACAGGATTTCTCCAGAAGAGAAAAGCACTCCCAACAGCAACTGCAGCTTCAACCAAAAAAGCAGATTTATGATTTGAGGAATACTCTGAAGACGACTGGGTAGACAGGAAAGACACTAATTCAAAAAGGCAATACCATAATAAGCTCAGTATAGGCAAGGTCCATTTTGAAGAGCTAGGGCAGGCACTGGAAACTGGAGCTCAGAAGATTGGTAATCTTCAGTTCGTAGATGGTAGTTAAAAGGCAGAAAGTGCAGGAAACTGGCAAGACAGCTTGTAGAGGCAGTAGGTCAGAGACAGAATCCTAACAGTCGGCAAAGAGGCAGTGTAGAAAATGGAAGAGGTCAAAGAAAAAAAGACAAATGCATGTAAACCCCTGAATGAAAGAAAATTTTGAGGGAGGACTCCATGGAGAAACAGTGAAAAGTGAGCACTCATAAGAACAAGTTTTACTTTACTACCTAAAATGTCTTCAGCAAAGAAAACCAAAGGACAACACACTGTGGTGAGTTCAGTAAGCACAGGTGCTTCTAGTTAGTTTACACCTTAAGTAAAAAAGCAGAGCATGACACCTGAACCTATCTAGGGCCTTGCTTTCCCAAGTGGTAGCCACCCACCGTTTGTGACTATCAATCACTTGAAATGGCTAGGGAAAACGGACGTGTGCTTTAAAGTGTACGATACACGCTGGATCACAATACCTAGTACCAAAAAAAAAAAAAAGTAAAACATCACAGTATTTCTTATACTAAATGTTGAAATATTTTAGATACGCTACAGTACATAATTCACCTCTTTTTACTTTTTTCAATGTGGCTCTAATATTTCTATTAGACAGCACTAAATCTAGTCTCGGCATAATTTCTCATAACCAGCACCATATTGTCATCTTGTCCACAGGTTATATAGTAACAGGGTATAGTAACAGGGTATCACACCTGGGCAACTGCATAGCACTTATGTAATGACAGCCAGTCTAAGGGTATGCATAATTATTTTCTGTATTACAAAGCCTAGGAGAGACTAAACAGTAGTCTTGGCCAGGCCCAACTAACAATGTCAGGTTAGACAGAAACTGATAGGACTTGATGGGGTGATTATGAAAAAAAATGGAAAAAGGATATAAACTACACTCTCTTTCCAGGATGCTGAGTAGTAAAGGGAAAATGACCCAACAGACTAACAGGAATGAAAGAGGAATTAGGAAGTCTCAAGCATGTTACTAGACTGAAGTTCTGAGAAGCCAATGATGATGGAGGCCAAAGAGCAAGATCACTGTAGAAGTGAAATCTCAGAAGTGGCACATAACCATAGTAACTAGCAAAATCTCTTATACAGTCATGTACCACATAACGTTTCGGTCCATGATGACCACATATACGACAGTGGTCCCATAAGATTAGTACCATATAGCCTAGGTGTGCAGTTGGCTATACCATCTAGGTTTGTGTAAGTATACTCTGTGATGTTCGCACAATGATGAAATCCCCTCAAGTCGCATTTCTCAGAACATATCCCTGTCGTTAAGCGATGCGTAACTATATGAAGAAAGGGGTTTTGTTGAAGAAGTTAGACAACTTGCCCAGTCACTTAGCTGTTAAGGGCTAGTATTTGAACACAAGTCATCATCAGAGCAGGTGCTTTTTTTTTTTTTTTTTGTGAGGAAGATCGGCCCTGAGCTAGCCTCTGCCAATAGTCCTTTTTTGCTGAGGAAGACTGGCCCTCGGCTAACATCCATGCCCATCTTCCTCTACTTTATATGGGACGCCGCCACAGCATAACTTGCCAAGCGGTGCGTCAGTGCTCGCCCGGGATCCGAACCGGCGAACCCCAGGCTGCCGCAGCGGAGCACGTGCACTTAACCACCAGGCCGGCCCCTAGCAGGTGCTTTCTATTACCAGGTAATACAAGGTAAAAAACAGATTCTAGTATTACCTCATTAATTCATTTCAAAAGTGTCCTTCACAAGGAAATCCTTGAGTTCTGCAACTTTGCTAAGGAGTATACCAACTAACGATACTAACAGGGTGTTCAGGTTAACCACATTTTCAATTAAAATCTTAAAGCCAATCCTGATGTTTTCTTGGACTTTGCTGTAACCAAGCCAGTCTACCAATATTCTCAGGTCTCCTTACAATAAAAACAAACCTAACCATGTAAACTTTCTTACTCCTTTAGAAGCACATGTTACCCTCCCAATAACTTGTTGTTAACCTAAATGTGAAATAGACATGTTTACCCAAAGCACAACCCTTTCTTCCAGGCAATTCCCCCTGTTCAAACCAAGTGCTGTTGGCTTGAGGGATGAAAATGTAGCCAAGGCTATATACATGATACTTAACAAGAACTATATGTCCACAAATGTACATATCCAAGTCATTGTACATTTCAATTTCTCATGGGGTCAAAATTTTTTCAAGCAGTTCTATCCAACACAATGTTCTGAAAGAAATATTCTATTATCTACACTTTCCAATAAGATAGCCACTAGTCACATGGTGCTACTGAACACTTGAGAAGTGGCTAGTACAACTGAGGAACTGAATTTTAAGTAACCACATGTGGCTAATGGCTATGTATTATTGGAAAGCGCAGGTAAAATATGGGACAGCACAGCTTTAGTTAACAGCAATTTATGACCTTCACCACCTTTTTAAAAAGGCAACTTCTACTTAAGAATTTAGGACTTCAGCCTGCTTATCTATTCATCTAATCTCTGGGTATTTCTCTTTTCCTGACTTATTTGTTGTTTTGCCTCCAGTATTCTGCCCATTCCATTCTAATTTGCTATCCCTGCCTATTGGAAATCTATTTCATTCCTTTCTAAATTTAAGAGGCAGCTCAAGATGGTGGCAAAACAGGAAGACAGTACAAAAGAAAAACATACCCATACTTAAAAAAACATGTTTTTAATCCACTTGGATTTTTATTCTTTGCCCAAGTTTTAACAAGACACGTTTTATTGCTAAGGGCTAGCACATGGGCACAATAAATTAATTAAGCTGGTACCTTACATTCAAACATCTGATCCAGTATGTCAAATACTTGCAGAGATAATCTAAAAATGGCTTAACTCTTTCTATGATTCTGGTGTCCACTAATATGTATTAATGAGCAAAAACTACAGAAGTCTATGGGCAAAAACTACAGAAGTCTATAGTCAGCCTATTTAGACCAGCTATCCAGGATCTGTTGAGTTCACAGTCAAGTATAATATTCATTTTTGAAATTCTATGTGCTGGGCCAGCCCCAGTGGCCTAGTGGTTAAGTTGGGCACATTCTGATTTGGCGGCCCAGGTTCAGTTCCTGGGCTCAGATCTACACCACTTGTCTGTCAGTGGCCATGCTGTGGCAGCAGCTCACAGACAAAAAGAGGAAGATTGGGGGCAGATGTTAGCTCAGGGCACATCTTCCTCAGCAAAAAAAAAAAAGAGAGAAGAAAAGAAAAAGAAAAAATTCTATGTGCTTAGTCAAGGTCCTTTCCAGCTACAGCAGCATTAAAGAATTTGAAATTGATGAGCTTAATATTTAGAATACTTTTTAAAGCATAATGAAGAAATGCAACTAAACCTCACAAATTGTATAGTTCAATGAGGCATTTCCCATTCAACCTCTCTGGCTGAGTTTCCTGCCCTGAAGCTCATAGTTTAACTCCTCCAGGATAACACTGCCAGTATTCCATAAATTTTAGGCCAAACTTCTCAAATTTTAATGAGTATCCACGTCAACTGGCAATATTGTTAAGATTCAGACTAATTCAGGCCTGGGGTGGGAACTTAGGATACAGCATTTCTTTTCTCACAACCTCCCAGGTAAGGTCACTGAGCCCTATGCTGTCAGTCCATGGATCTGGATTTGAGATGAGCAAGGTTTTAAACAAGAGACACCTCCTTATTCTTCTTCATTAAATAAAGACTTATTATGTAATATATCATAATAAAATGACACTAAAATAATAAAAACAAGAAATTTATTAACAAATATATACAACACAAACACAGTTCAATTACTGTTTGTCTTATAAATTTCACCTCTATAAACCAACGGATACTATACAAAACATTTACAAGTGTATACATATATATATATAAAAGACTCCCACCTGTATGTAACCTCTCATCCATTTGTGCTATCTCATATCTGTAAAAAAATGTTAACATTTAAATATTAAGTATTTACATCTTTTTGTGTGGCTGTAACTTCACCAGTTACCACTAAATGGCTCACAGGGAGACAATAATGCTAGAAACACAAACATGCAATAAAGTGCATTTCAGGCAACCTTAGCTTTTTAGTTTTCTTTTTTAGACAGGTATCCACAGTCCATATGGACTTTTCTTCAGATTTATTTTTGGGGATCCTGAGAAGGTCTCTTGAGCAGTAGCTTTAGCTGATTTCTGAAGCATTGGCTTTGCTACAGAATTCTGTAAGAGAACAAATTCACAAAGTTAGCTTCCCAAACATACATACTGTATATACTTCAAATATGTGCTTTTTACATAATACATTAAATAATTCCATTTAAGATTGAAACTTAAAAGACATCAACCAAATGCAAAGTGCAGACCTTATTTATAACTTGATTCAACCGAACTGTAAAGCCAAGAAACTATTGCAGAAATCAGACATATGCAGGGCATATTACAATAGTGAGGTGTTAAAATAGTTTTGAGATTTTGTTTTTTAAGCCCTTAGCTGATTTTAAAAGATTCTGACTACAGAGTATTCTGAAATTCGCTTTTCAAATATTTCAACAATTAAAGTATAAGGGGAATATTTAAAACAAGGGAAAATATTGAAACTGAGAATGTGGCTATAAGATATAGAAAATGCCCATTATATCAGTCACTTGTAGAACTAGCACAAAAAAATATAAAAGATTAAGTCTATTTATCAATTGGCTTACTTAGTAGCTCCCAAATTATCACCACCAAGACAAAAACAATGAGCCTTCCAACAAAAATGAAAGCCGCACATAATGGAAATATGTTCTAGGTCCAATTGTTGAGTAGTTAATGCTTAGATATACTTACATTAGAGCTAAAAGCTATGCTTTTTTGCTGGGAAGACTTTTCATTGGGCTTTTTAGTTCCATCTTCTGTTAGCTTTTCCGGCAGCTAGACAAGAAAAAGCATATTTTTAAAAAACCATACCCTTGGTTTACAGTTGTGTATAAAAAGCAGCCCAACTACAAATTTAGTTATAGAGACACAAATCAACTTGAATCTAACCATACAGTTAAAGGCCTAAACAGCATAGTACTCTGTTGAGTTTTCCCCGTAACAAAATAGATTCAATATTAGGCTTAACACACTCTTCCCCATAAAGCAGTACTGTATTCCCCTGATGCAAATTCAAGTAACTCTGAAAGTAAAGTCATACCAGAAAATACATAGTTTCAAAGAACTAAGGCATTTGTCAGTTGGGTACCTAATTGTCTTAATGAAAAAGCAACTCAACTAAGATCTTATTTGTCTACTACTAATACTTAAGCAAACCCACATCTGGGTCTGAATGATAGGTTCACCTAGATAACACATCTTTCCTATGTTAACTGATTCTCTCAATTCCTAACTACTTAAGCCTTTAATACTATGAATTCTATGCTTTGGATTTCACATAACTTAAAAGCACAGCGCAATTTGCCAATGCACATCCTGCACATTTCTGGAGAATTATAATAAACTTATCTGCAAGTGAAGCAGGCCTCTTCTTCTGTAATCTCTCAAAACATCTGGAATATATTGCATATATTATAAAAGGGACATCTATATCACAGATGCCCCACCATTACAAAGTGTACTTTTGTTTAAAAAATTGTCTTTACTATCTTATCCAAATAGTACCTGTCCCAAATTCTAGCATGCACATGGATCTACCAACAAAAAACTAAGCTTTCAGTGTGTGAACATAAACTTCAAATTAGTTAAACCTCTGATGCTTTTGCCCATGTATCAATTACCAACAGATTTTCTTCATCAATGTCTGGAGACCACATTCATGATTTCTATAAGACAGAAATAAAGCAGATAAACTATACTGTATGTTGAGTACAGAATATGTGGGAACATAATGCTGCAAATGAAAACTACAGATAAATACTCTGTAAAGACTAGTTAGAAAAATCTGGTAACTACATAGAAATCACCAAAGCAACAGCTACAATTATGAATGTAATTAATACTGTGTCAGCTGTAAATAAAGTTCATTATCTCCCATTCCCATGGGGGAGACTCTGTCTAGTACTGTCAGTTCTGCTATTTTGATTTTAATAAATTATATTCAGCTAGCCTTTCCAAGAAGCAGTCTAGTGTAAATCAAATAAAAATGGCTAATCAGATCTTTCTGGCAAAAGCTTTCTGAAGATTTTGTTTGGATAAATGTAGAATACTTACCTCAAACTTTGAAGCATTATTTGGTACAGCTGTTCCACGGTTTGTTTCTTTTGATACAAGAGCAGTTCTGAGACTAGCTGGCAAATCAAAGTTGGTTGTTCCTAAAGCTTTTGCTGCATTGGCTTTTGCTATTTCTAACAGCTCCATTCGATCTACGAAAGAACCACAAGACATTCATTAATCCTGCAGTACTTCTCCAAAAGGATTCAGAAGCACAACATAATTGTGTTTTATTTAGAACAGCATCAGAAGGATGTTTAAATGTTTTTATTTTCATGTGTAGAATATACCTTTATCCATGGAAACAAAGTTCTCTACCTTATTTTTTTTTTGGTGAGGAAGACTGGCCCTGAGCTAACATCTATTGCCAACCTTCCTCTTTTTTGGCTTGAGGAAGATTAGCCCTGAGCTAACATCTGTGCCCATCTTCCTCCACTTTGTGGGTCAGCACCACAGCATGGCTTGACAAGTGGCATAGGTCCACGACTGGGATCCGAACCTGTGAACCCAGGCCCGAAGCAGAGCACACACTTAACCACTACAACACGGGGCAGGCCCCCTGTACCTCATTTTTCGCTGAGAAAAGTAAGAACTCCTAAACAACCGCCAACAGCTAGTTTTCAGTTTTCCTTACCGAAAGCATGAATTCCATATTGTTTTTGCTTTTTCTTCAAATATGTATTCTAAACGTCTAGTTTTTTTGTAACAGGTCTTTTAATATGGTACAACTCGCACACCTAATGAACCAATACCCACACATCACTAAACCCATTTCCAGAATTCCTTAAGATTTTTTTTGACCTAATATCCTTTTTTCTGTTCTATGAGCCTATCCAGAATACCACAAGTCATTTGTTCTAAAATGCCTGGACGAAATCCAATTCTGCTCGGTAGCACAGTATTACTAAACTAAAAACAGGAGCGTTTTGCTACTATCCTTCCCGTTCAATAGTTAACGGAGCCGCAGCTTCGCGTGGGTCAACAACTAAGTCACTAACATTGAGAAGGCTCCACTAACAACGGCCAGCCTCCCAAAGAAGGGATTCCTCCACCCGAGCCACTTCGCACCCTCCGCTGACTTTCAATCCCACGGGAAAGAACGTCCATTTTAAAAGTGGACGCCGACAGCAGTGCAGTTTTAACTGTTAAGCTGCTAACATCCTCCCCTCTTTCCTCCCAGCACAACTAAGATTCCAGGAAGCAAGGCAAATAAAAATACTGAAGCTACACAGCAACTCCGGCCGCCTCGCCTCCCAGACCGCCGCCACGCGAAAACAGCGCGATGGGAGAAGTTAGCGCGCGCTGTCCTTTCCCTGAGGACGGTCAGCCCTGGAACAGCCGCGCCGATCCCCCGCTACTCCCCACGCGGGTCGCCGCCACAGCACGGCCGGCGCCTGGCGTAGGCTGGCAGCCGGGCTCCACCCCGCGGCCCCGGGCCGCCCAGCGCCG